ATTGCTTTTGCACACTCCTCCCTTTTTTAGCTACACTGATTTTGATGGCACCTGTCCTCTTCAAATAACTTCTGCATTTCTTCTGCTGCTGTCTGTTGGCCTGTGTTTGTTCCTGTCATTCTCAGTTGCTTCTTTGGTAGTGGTCATAATCTCAGTGAACTCCTAGCTCAGAGATATTTTATATGAAGCACATTTCTTTTTGCTTTGTATCCTGAGTATCTTCTGAGCCTGCAGGATCATTACATTTTCTGAAATCTCATCTCTTCTTCCTCTTCCAGTTCTCCTTTAATGTTTGCATTAAATTAGCTAAGAAAGTAATTTATAGTTCAAACTAGTTCAATTTCTAGCTTCAAACAAACTAGGTGGCTTTTAAAAAATTATTATTATTATCATGCTGTTTTCCTTCTCAGTCACAGCAGTACTGAATATTGTTTATTTGTGTGTAAGTGGCACTTAGGAATCCATGCCCTGTTGTGCTTGGTGTGTTTGCTTTGGTTCTTTTGCTGTTTAACCAGTGCACAGCCTGCCCAGGCAGGCGATCTTACCTTCTCTGGAGAAGCAACCTGGCTGAATCAGTACCAAACCAGTTCAGGGCAGCAGTGTGTGGGGAATCTTGTGCAGGTGTTGTCCATATGTGCTGGGTACATGCCTGGAAATGGGAAGGCTGATGGTAAGTTTTTTCATCTGTCAGCATATCATTTTTCACAAGGAGTGGAATTTTTTTGAAGGCTTAGGGGAAGGACGAATTCTGTTCAAGGTTCTTTCATTTTATTACTGTAAGATTTATGGCATTGCCAAGCCCCTTCTTTGGACTGATACCAGACCTGCCATCCCTCATCCATTTGGAGTGCAGACCTCTCTTCCTTAATTTTTCCAGCTTTCATTCCAAAGATGGAAAAAAAATCAGCATTTGAACTCTTTTTTTTGAAGGGATTAGTTTGTTAGGTCCTTAGTTCTAAATTAGAAAGTAAGGAACACTTTAAGATTTTCATAGTTTTATTTTACATCCCGCAATAGGGTTTTCAGTTTTAGAGCACTAACATATTTCTCCTTGGATTTAACCAACTCCCTGCCCTGTTAAAGTTGCTTTCTCTGCCTCAGTTCCCTTCCCCTCTAGACTTGAAGCTGTTACCTTTTGGCTTAGATCCACCCATCCTGACACTGAAATGAGGGCCTCATTGAAGAAAGCATTCCAGGAACAGTTTATCCTTTGCTAGTTGATAGAGATTTTCTAATGCAGGGTTGCTTTTTTGGCTTTTCTTTCTTTGAGCACTGCTGAGGCCAAATGTGTTCCCAGGCACTGTGAAATTCCTCAGCAGTTGACTTTTTCCTGACTGCCCGTTCAGCTTCAGGAGGCTGGATGGGGAGAGACGCTGTCATGTGCCCTGGCTCTTGAGCCCTGGGCCTCAGTACCGTGAGCAGTTGACTGCCAAGATCTCTCCAAGTCTGACCTTTTCTTGGAGCGTGGTTATTTCAGCATGCTTTACTCTTTACCTTGAATCACAGAATACCGGGTTCTCTGTGAACAAAAGCAATTTTTCCTAATTTACATGTGTCTTTCAGAATGTCCCTTCCTAAAGAACAGAGGGAATCCATTCGTGCATTCCGCCCTGCATATTTTGTTACAAGTGCCTAATTAAGTATGTTAAGTGCTAGTTCTCAGTAATTGATATCACTGAACCACTCATTGCATATCTAGGGTAAACAATAGACACAACTTTATAACAAGCTGATCATAGCCACCTAGGGGAAGGTGTAATTTTTAACTTCTAGCAAGGTTTAAATGACTGGGAACAAAGTCCAGACAAATTATTTAGGTCGTTACAAAATGAGGCTCTGAGTTACAATGCTTTTAGGCCGCCCTCCTCCCTCTTCTGTAGCCTCAAGCATTGAATTGGAGCTTGTATGTATATTTGGTTCCGATACTGTTTTCTTCTGGCTCAAAATCACAGGTGTGTTGTTTTTTGCTGGATTGTTCTTTTGTACCTGTCTTTTGTTTGCTGCCACAACAACAGAGAGAATCCTAAGCAGAACTGCTATAAATGCATATTCATGTTTTTCCTACCCTTCCCCCAGTCTCCACTCTCTCTCTCTCCCACCCCTTCCCAAATTCCATTAATATTTACAGAACAACAGCCAGAACTCCAGCATTAATCTCAAATTCAGAATGAGATTTTTTCTGGCTCTATCTGCAGCTAATGCAGAAGGCAACAGAGGTTAGAAATGCACTTTAAAAAAAAAGGAAAAAGAACAAAAGGCCTTTTCATATTCAACACACTGGATGGATTGTGTTAGGTATAAATAAGTTTTCAAAGACCAGAACATATGTAAAAAATATCATATGTATTGTTGTTGGAAGGCAGAGGAACATTTATTTGCTTACTGAATGCATTGATGGTTCCTGAGCTTTAACTTATATAAACTCATAGTTTCTTCAAATTTTGTGTGTTCCTTTTTTCATTGTACTGGTTCATGTACAGATAAGCAGTAAAACCAAAAAGTCAAATGAACAGAAAGAGAACTGTGTTGACAGTTACATGCCAGCAATGTAGAAACTAAGCATTTGTAAGGCGATGTATAAACAAACTTCAAAACCAGTTTTGCAAACATAAATTTCATAGGCAAACTGAAATTGAGTGAAGAGAATGAAGAATTCAGATAATTAGCGTTTGTTCTCTTTGACCCCAAACTAAGTATTTTCTTTCATTTTCATTGTTAAGTGCATAGAATGTGTTATTAACCTTTATTAATTGACTTTAAAAGCCAAACTCAAAGATAAATATTACTGTTCTTCCAAATTGTTTTTGTTTCAATGTTGGTTTACTCACTGGAAAGTATTTCCTGACTTCTTTAGTCTGCACAGGCACTTACTCCTCTGTGACCTCTGTCCTTGATTGTTTCAAGAGTCGCTTTTCCCTGCCATGGGGAAGGATGCCTTGTGTCCCTGTCCAGTTGCTGTGTGGTTCTGGCTTCTGGTGACCTCAGTGAGTTGTCAGCAGACAAATTTGTTAACTGGGTCAAGTAGGGGATTGTGTTCATCTGGTTGTGAGGCCAAGGGTTATTTCAGACACCAGAAACTGATCTGAATTCTTTAAATGAAGGAGGAGGTCATCTGCGTGTCCTATGGAAAATGGTTTGGCAAAGCGGTCTGGAGAAAGCTGGCTCTGCAGTATGCATGTGCTGTTCTTCCTCCATGGAAGTGAGAGAACATATTTTAGCAGAGGATTCCTCAATCTATCCAATACCCCAAAATACATAAACACAGAAAATGTTGGTGGTTTTCTTTTTTTGCCCTTTTCAATATGGATTAATTTGTTCTTAAATTCCAAGAAAATACCAATACCCATCAGTCTATCCTTTAGTCTGGAAGTTTGTATTATTTGTTTTTCTGGGAAGGGCTCCCATATTTTCTTCTCATCTCTCTGGCATTAGAATTGGCTTATCTCACTTTTCTGATGAACCTACATTTTCCAGATAAATGAAAACATAGGGGTTTATTTTTCAAAACTGAAACAGTTGGATTGCCTTTTTGTTTTACTGGGATAAGCATCCATGATGCTCTGGGGAATGCAGAATGATCTAAAATAAGCCTAGCTGTTTTTTGTTGTTTGTCTGTTTCTTTTTACATCTGTCTTAGTATTTATTGCTACCATCTGCGTTTCATTTCAGGTTGTCTAATGTCTCATTCTGCATGTTCTTTGCCTATTCTTTTTACATAGCCTTGGGCTGTAATATCACCATTTGCCTACAAGAGATCCATTTCTATCTGTAACAAAATGAATTGCATTCATCTGTGTAATTCATTTCTAATGAATGCCTTGCTCCTCATTAAACAGTGATTTACCTTTGTTTCCCTTTCCTACACTGTCAACACGAACAATTTTGAGGTCCTGTGGAGAGATGCTAATTTGAGAAAGCAAAAGTCAATGCAACTAAGCGCTCATGGGGGCCATCCTCCTTGGCACTTTCAAAAATATTCGTGGGACGTGTTGCACAATAAAATTTGCAGGTGGATAAGAAGACTCAAAATATTCTCCTCTTCATAAGCTCTCAGTGTACAAAGGCAATGCTTTTAAATGCAGTTCTCCTTGACACTGCCAGGAGCAAATGAATCTTCACAGACCTTGTCTGTTCTGCAAGAATTTTACCTGTCACAGGCACATTTTGGGAGACTGTACTCTTGGTTCACTGTCCTCTCTCTACCTTTTCAGGAATATTAAGATATTTTGACTGTATTTTCAGATTAAATACCTAATTTTGATATAAGTCAAAATGTTACAGACTTGAAATTATTTTATTTCAAATTTTTAAGGAGATGCAAAGATTCATATAAATACATATTTCCTTTGCCAATAGTACCTAAAGGAAAAGGATGAGCACCATTAATTAGTGAAATAGGGTTGTGGAGTAATTTTGTTACAGATTGGGTTCTTATGCAAGTTTTGTGTAATGCACTTTGAAGCTCTCAAGCAACATTTCCTTTTCCAGCCCTGCACTGCAGAACAGCAGAATCTGCCATGTGTGCAAATAGATCTGTGCTGCTGACAGATGATGGTTAGAGTATGGGATGAATTACCAAGTTTATTTTCACTTTAACCCTAAGCAGAGTTTGAACATTGAAGCAGCAGTGGATTATGAATATGAAAATACTGTTGGTAAACATAATTTAGAGCAATACAGGAAGTTTTATTTACAGCCTCTTCAGCTCTTACTTTGGTGATAGTACAAGCCACTCATCAACACTTTCGATCACTTGAATTTAGCTTGGCATTTTTCCGTATTTATTTGTGTGTTGGGTCAGACTGATCCCCAGCTGAAACTCTAGAATTTCCAGTGGGCATCAGTGGATTTACACCATGGACTAATTTGATCATGGTATTATGAGGGGATTTGACATGGGAGGTTGGGTTTTTGTAACTGGTCTTGCCTAAGTCGTATAGTATTTGGAAGTAAGAACACTGATTAATGTAACAAAACCTTATTTTTAATATACATTTTAGAGGACAAAACTGACCTTGAGAACAGTGTGATGCAGAAGAAAATTAAAATCCCCAAACTCTCTCTCAATCACATAGAAGAAGCTGGGGAAGTTGCAGATTATGGGGAAGAAGATGTGGAACTTAGACACAGTAAGGTACTGAAGTCTTTCTGTTTTTTTTTCCTCCTCTCCTTTTTTTATCTTTTTTGTGAGTGCTTGGGGCATATATGAACGGCCTAGCTTAAGACCAGGCTTGCCTTTGATCCCCTTAAAACAGAGTGTTTGGTGAAATTGGGTCACATTGTGTGTGGGGGTGGGGTATGGGTTTTCAAAACCTGATTTAAGTGCAATCAAACATTTTCCTGTGTATACTGTCTGCATAGTGTAACTGCCACCTGAGACTGGTGCAACAATGCTCTTCCACTTTGGCTCAGAATGCCTCAAAACTCACCAGTACCCAGCTGAACCAGCTGTTCTTGGTGGCACTTGTGTCATATTGCTCACTGCCTGTTTGAGACTGGGAAGGGTGCTCTGAGACTGCCCAACTACTGTGATTGAGAAGAAGAATTTACAGGACTGTATCCCTCCATTATAACTCCCAGCTGCCTTTTTAGTTTCAAATACCAGAAACCCGCTATGGAAATATATTTATTTTTAATATCAAATTATTTCTTCAAAAGTCTGCCAACCTTCAGAATAAGATACTCTATGGTTTCATGTGTTTTGCAGCTGCAGGAGTGATATTAGTGCATTTCCTTGTGGTGGGCCAGCTTTTTTTAAATGGTTAATTTTTTTTAGAAGATGAATGCAGCAGGTGTAACATCAAATAATTTTGGTTTTTGCCACATTACTCATGGATATTGTGGTATGGGAGTTTGATAGTGTCAGCTTCTCTCCTCTATTCTATGAGCTGCATTTGCTTTTCTTGCAGTTGCTTGGAAATTCAAATGCCTTTTCCTATTTGGCCAGTAAAACTTAGTGACTTTACCTGTACATAGTAATCCCACTATCCAGGCCCCAGGAAAGTGATGTGATTTAATTTGTAGGGTTTGTGCAGATGACTGAAGGTAAAATTCCACTGAGAGTTCCCAGGTCCTGAAGCCTCTGCAATGCAGTACTAATAGAGAAGGAATCAGTTGATAAGGAAGATGAGGCTGGGTGATATATTCTGTCTCCAGCTTCACTGTTTTCAAATCCCTTTCAGTGTTTGCTGATAGTGTTAACTCAGTCACTTGCATCAGGCAGTTGGGTGAACGTGCTGTAGGGATAGTCAGTGAAGGTTTTGTCTCCCAAAGTGTGGGAAGGACAAGCCCTCAGTTCACAGAACAGCTTTGTGCCTGCGCTGCTTTCACCTCTGATGTCGTCACAGGTGACAAATGGAGCACACAGTTCGTTCTTTCTCTTGCTTATCAAAAAATCAATTGCTGTCAGAAATCTGAATGTTAAGGGTAAACTTTAAAGAAAAAGAGATATAGATCAACTTTTTCAAAAAGAAAGTAATGATACAGAATCAGGTGACCTATATGCGCTGCCTTTGTAAGTGTTGCACAAATGCAGGAAGGCCTTTAACTGTCTCAGAAGTTTGTACATGCATTTAGCTGAGTTACAACTGCATGTTGGTTGTGCTGCATATTATATCCATAAGAACCTGTTAGGCAAAATATTTTTGCAGACTGGCTTTTTCCTAGTCTTTTGGAAGACAAGAATATTAAACAGTTCCCAAGACTCTCCTAATTTATTTGTTTTTTATTGTAACGTGCAGAGACAAGATGGGAGGAAACAAAGTGAAGGTACACACAAAAGCATTGAAGCAGTTGTTGCTCGCCTTGAAAAACAGAACGGGATGAGTCTCAGTAATACTTCCAGCCCTGAGGAGGCTTTTATGGAGGCTACAGAAGGCATGAACAATATGGACGATGCTGTAGTTCCTCGGATTCTCTATGAGGAATTGCTGAGGAGTTACCAGCAGCAACAGGAAGAGATGAGACACATTCAACAGGAGCTTGAGAGAACGCGGAGACAGCTTGTGCAACAGGCAAAGAAGCTAAAGGAGTATGGGGCACTCGTGTCAGAAATGAAAGAGCTCAGAGACTTGAACAGGAGGCTCCAGGATGTACTGCTCCTAAGACTAGGTAGTGGTAAGTGCCGGACTTAAGTGGGACTAGTCTGAATGAATTTTGCAGGTGTGATCAATAGTCATGGAAATGTATTTGAAGAATAGCAGTGGTTGTTAAACCGGACATTGAATGTTAAAAGGGTTTTCTGCTGTGGCTGTACAATATGTGTCGAATTTGTATGCTATGTACGTCTGGGGTTTTCTTTAAAAACTAGAGGTCTTTGTGCTGGTATGGCTGAATCAGAGTTCCATTTTAAGCAGCTGTATTATAAAGAGTCTCTGACCTTCCAATATATACTGAAAAAGTTAATAAAGCATCATCTGCAAAATATACCAATATGTTCCAGTTAAAAAAAAAAAAAAAAAAAAAAAAAAAAGAAAAGGCACTGGAATGAATAGTTGGGCTAAAACTAATTTATCCTTTGCAGTTAGGGATTTTGTTTGTTGTTCTGTGACTATGTTACCTTCCATTTTCTGACCCCTCTTCCCATTAGTAGCTTATTAGAATGTGATATATTCCTGAAGTTTTAGCAGTGGCTTTAAAAAGCCATGCTATTTGAAAAACAATGGATTGTTAAAAGCATAATTAAAAAGGCTTTATATTAGCGTCCCGTTTATCAACGCTTGTTGCAAAATGCAGGTTTTTGTAATTTGGATTTCAGTTCTAAATATCTTGGGTCAATTGCTCCTTTGTTTGGGTTTATAACCATTATTTAAGCATTACATTGGAATAAATGGGAAAAAAAGACAAAATAAAAAGTTCATCCTTTTCATTGAAGATGGTACCCTTGGAATACCTTCAGAAATTTGACTAATTACATTTATTTGCGATTAGAGTGTGGTACTGCTATGTTGAAGATTTGCTCGGTGACTGAAACTTGGTTGAAATCTATGCATCCAAACTTAGCATGCCATTCTTACATCTGCCTTTGTGTATCTGGAAAGTTAATTTTTGCATGTCAGTTGGATATTGGCTCTTCTGGACTGGAACGAGTGCATGCAATTTGCATGTGGGTCTGAGTTACCCCCACGTACAGAGCTGGACCTGGGAGAGCATGTGCCTGTGCTGTAGCATGTGTTCAGGTGTGCCCACACCCTTGGAGCCAGGTTCTTGGAGTGTCCCACAACCTAAACTGGGTGTCTGATTGTGAATGCTCATCATTGTTACATTGTGCACAATTAAAATGTCGTTACTTACCATAAACATTCTAGTTAACTTTCTAAATAAAACTAAATAGGCAAGGTTGCCGCAGCCTGAAAAAGACGATGTGGTTGGCAGGAGATTCCACTGAGCTTTCTAAAGTTTTCCTTGGATGGAAAGATGTTTCTTCATCTGCAAGTAGTTAGCTGGAATTTATGAGAATGGAGCACGAGCCAGATGTTGGTAGGCAATGGGGCTGAACAGCGTAAAGTACCAATTTAGTTGGTAGACTTGACAGCAGTTGGAGTGGTGAGACCAACAGTGAAATGAAGACAGCTACTGAATTCTATCTCTTTTCTTTCACTTTAAGAAAAAGAAGATGCATTTTTTTGCTTCAGCCAAATAAAGAAACCGTAGGAGAAAAAAGGAAAAAAAAAAAAAAAAAAAAAGAGCAAAAGAAACCCTGGGGAAAAAAATACTGAATCTTCTCTAAATATTGGGCATGAATTTCTATTGTATGTATCAGTCTGCCAACTGAAAACCAATCCCAATTACATTGAAGACAAGTTCTTTAAATTTAATCACATACCTGGAAAAATACCAACTATACAACACTTTAAAAAAAAATTCCTTGTTAATATTACTTGTAAGGAACATTGGATGGTAAAGGTGGAATTTGGCCATGCTGGCTTTGTCCTTCACAGGGTTTGTGTTTCCTAAGACTCAGTGTATTAACTGTTGCTTACTCTGTTGTTTTTCCTTTTAGCCTCATTCACAGCAGAGAAAAACCATGTTCTAGAAAGATCAATACAAAACTTATGAATAATTAGCAAGGGAGACATCTTCAGCATGTTCTAAATTAGAGAGTCTGATGACAGTGTGAAAAAGTACTACTTTTAATCAAGAATAGATATGTAAAGACTTTTTTAGTCTTCCTTACTTTTCCAGCTTATAAATGAGGTATGTTTGGGTATGTGAATAATCTCTGAAAATTGTTCTGAAAATAAATTACATCCTGAATTCATCTGCAATTGCAGTGATCTCTGAAACCTAGAGTTTGAAATTACATGTAATTTATGTTACACTGCGCTTCTAGCAGGCTGGACTTAATGCAAACTAATTGCATTTCTGTTTCACCTTAGAGACTTGTGATTTCTTTGCATGAGATGACAGCTGGTTTGTGCTGATGAATTGCAGCTGTGGGAAATGCTTGCCTGTTGCCATTTTAAACTTGCAGATCAAATATAGAACAGTCTCTTGAGCTAACGTGCAGTCAAGTAGTCAGTCTCCTAATTTCCCATCAATGTGTTGAATTCAGTGAGGAGCTGGAAGTCAATGTGTTGTACTTGAGACTTAGGCCTTCAGCTCTGCTACTGAACTGGAGCCAGTTTTGTGGCAAGAGTGAGGAGGTTCATCTTCCTCATGGTGACACCAAATTGCTCTTTGTCACAAAAGAGCCTTGGAGGTAGCTGTGGCAGATGATAGTAGTGAAATCAGTACTGATCCATGGAGAAATGCTTAATACCATCTTTATGATTTTAGTATATTATTTCCAGGCACATCCCTTCACAGAGGAGGCAGGCATTTCACCAGGGCTCTAGGGACCAGAGCAGTGGAAAAATGGGATGACTGTTGTGGAAAAGGTTATGGTGTCTCTCTTGAGCTCCTGGAATAATGTGTGCAGCATCTTGCCTTGCCCAAGTGGGGAACTGGAAACCCTGCAGCTGTAGGCATTTGCAGTTTGTTTTGTTGCACCTGAAAACTCACCTAATTGGCCCTCTTTTTATCAACAGACAGTAAGGTAATTTAAAGAATTAGATAACTGACTTTTCCCTGTAGGGACTTTAAATAGCCCTTGGATTGCAAAAGAGGAATTTCAATAACTTCTTTTAAAAAATAGCTGTCCCCTGGGCAAGATCTGTGCCATTTCCTGTGGCTGGAAATATGGTCAGAAGTACTGAAGTTCTATAGGAATAATGCTTGAGTTTTTGGCTCCCTGATAATTTCTTCATTTTCATGTTAGATTGCTGAGAATTAGTGTTGCTCCAAAGTCAGGGAGTATATTCACATTTGTTCAGAAACATTGATTCATCAGTATGTGCACACAGACCCCCAAGGTTTTTTTTTAATCCCAGTGTATTTTCAGTGATCCAGTTCACAGCGTTTTGGGACTGACACCAGAGTAGGGAGAATGAAATGGGATTTGTGTCTTAACATGTGTCAGGAATTACTGTTTTTCAGCTTTTCTACATTTGTTTGGCTTTCTGATGTTTAAGAAAAAAAAAAAGGCCCAAGGTTTCTATCAAGTACAGAAAGTACCAGTATTACCACTTCTCAGACTTTGTGTTGTTTTGTTTCAATTTGTGGTAGACCATGTGCAAAAACTTACTGCTTACAAATGTATGCTGACCACTTTATCAGTCAATTCGTTTTTACTTTCTTACTAATTTCAGGAGTAGCGTGTAGCCTAAGATGCATTTTTGAGGAAAAGGGATGGTAAAGGGAAGCCTTCTACCTCTTCATCCTGATTTGAGTTTGCTGGCCTCTTGAATATTCTAAAAAAACTGCACAGAAGGAGAAAGATTTTGCAATAAAACATTTGTTTCCTTCTTGCATCCTGAAAATCGTCTTTTTTTGTTTTTCCCTGATCCTTATTACATAAATGCTGTCATTGTTAAGCCTTTAGATGGAGGTATATATTTTTATATGTCCCATTCATCATCTTTAAAATAAGATGCAGAGAGGGGGAGCTTGGAGTGTGGTGAATGGGGCACACCACTCTGTTGGCAGGCAGGAGTGCAGGCTCCGTGTGCAATTCCCTGTGTGCAGGGTTGAAAATGCAGAGTTTAGTGGTTGTGGAAGTGGCTGTGGAGACTGCCTGGTTAGAGGCAGGTTTCTGTTTGGGAATCAAAAATCAGGATATAAAAAAGAGATTTTAAAGGCTTTCTTTTGGTGACTTCTAAGCAAGTATTTAAAGCATGAATTGCAGTAGAGGTATTCTGACCTGTGAGAGCTGTGGTAGTTGTGGACTTTAATCAGCTTTTTCCTTGGGGAAGCTCTGGAAACCAAATTCCAGCTGTGTCAATATATGACTAAAAACAGTAAAAGACTTCTAAATAGGGAGTAGTAAAAGTGTTTAAAGGGAAATAAACGTTTCCTGCTAGGAAGAAGGTGGTTATACTTAGGTGTCTCCCTCAAAGTGACTTTCAAAGTATAAGAAAATAGCCCTTTGTTGAAGAATGTAAAGTAACAGCTTCAGAGATGACTTCTTAAGGTCACACTGGCAATTACATCCCTGCATCTGCTTATTCAGCTGTGCCTATGCTGTGGGCAGGCTTTGGGTGCTTTAACCAGTCCAGGTCTTCCCCCAGCTTTATAGTCTCAAGTTTAGGAAGTTCAGTTTGTCTTGGCTGTACGTTTGTGTATTCATGGTACTAGAGGTGCTTACTAAGATCATTTCTAAGTATGAAATTATAATGCAGGTTTTGTGATTTCTCTGTTTGTGCCATGCTTGCACTGGAGCTGGCTCTTAAGACCCTCTCGTTGGTGGCACTGCAGCGTAGGATTGTCTGAGTTGCCAAGACAATTTTTAGTCATTGGTGAGCATGGAGTGGCAGCCAGCTGAGAACATTGAGCTGGTTATGTAGGTGTAGGATAAGCTATAGGATAAATGTCAAATGCTGACAACGGAGGAAGCACTGCTATTGCTGTATAATAATCTCTAAATGAAACTGCACAAAGTAGGAGGGATGAATGCTGTGCTTGTTCCAGGCACAGGAACTATTTAAGATGTGTGACTAAGAACTGAGTTGTGGTGCCAGCGTGACTTGCAGAGTTGGATCAGTTCAGGGCTGGGTCTGTGTGCACAAGCACTGAGCAGGGGGCTGATGATGGAGTTGTCACTGGCTGAAGATGTCAGGGTTGGGCTGCAGAGTGGTGCAGTGCTCTCAGCACCAGCCTGGGACAATCTAGCACTGACAGGTGGGTGAGTTTATCCTTAGAGTTCTGGACATGGGATATTTCCATGGTGTCCAGAGTCCAAGCTGGCTGTGAGTCCAGAGTCTAACCTTGCTGTGCTGTGGAGCCACCGGCCCTGCATGGAACTTCAGTGCCTGCTGGAGCTTCTTGGGATCCTAGAGCCACACATCAAGGGACACTGATAGGCTTGGGGCCATAGCCTAGATTCCATTCTGGTGGAATCCCTGCAATGAATGGAGTCAGGAAATCCAGTTCACAAATCGCTTTTAGTTTGTTCTTCTGTCCTTTTAGGAACATTTTATATCTTCAATCTGGGAAAGTTGATGACTAACAAAATAACTATTCCCCTTTTAAGTCTCAAACATATGCTTAGTAGTATTCCATTGTTTAATTTGTGCATAATTTTTGTTGATTAAAAATAAAAATCAGTGTTGGATGAATTGGACTATCAAAATTCTAATTTATGTGGGGTTTTTTAACCTTTGATATTCTTTCTGTGCTTGATACTTCAGCATAAGGAGCCTAAGTCTGTTTCCTTCATAGCATTTCTGCAGATCCTCCCTATTTTTATATACCTCTGTTATATCTAAAGAGATTTTGGATTTCTATAATATTTGTAATTCTGTGTGGATAATTTATGTAATTATCACAGTAAATTATGCAGGTTCCTATGCAACTACATGGCAATTCTTATTTGAAGAATTACTATTGTTGCTTTTGGTTTATAATTTCAGTGTCATTTTAACATAATTTCCTTAGTGTGCATTGAAGAAATCTTACCCATATCTGTAATTGTCCTTATGCTTTAGGAATAAAATTAAACACTTAAATTAAAATCAAGCATTTTAATGTTTATAAAGCAGGAATACATATCCTGCTTTTAGTTACTGATATTCAGAAGTAGGATTTTAGTTTGGATTACTTCTAACATGAAAATGAACATGACTAATATGTTATTTTATGCTAATCATGGGTGATGAAGGGATTGATTTCATGTTCTCTGGGATAGCAGACAGCTCTCTTTTCTTAACTGTCTAGGACCTGCCATTGAGGTTGAAAAAGTAAAACCTGAATCAATTGAGCCCGAACCTGAGGTACAGAAGACCTTCAGTGAGGAAGCAAATACATCAACGTACTACCCTGCCCCTGTTCCAGTAATGGACAAGTATATTCTCGAGAATGGAAAGGTATTTTATATTAAATATAGCATGAGTCATTTTTAAATGTCCATCTGGTGATGTTCTTGTGGAATTTTCATTGATTGTGGGGGTTTTGCATGGTAGCAGCTTGTAGAAGCTTCCTCAGTTTTCATGAAGGTGTACTGTTATGCTGAGGAGAATTGTGAAGTTACACAGGTATGAAGAGCATAGAAAAGTATCCTTAGTGGTGAGAGCATTGAATGCTGTGCAACATGAGGAATATAGTTAAATATGCATGCACAGGCAAATTGACATAGTCTTCAGTTGGTGGCATCCATAAATACACCAAATATTGACCAGTCAATTAACCCACATTATAAAGTTACATGAGTCTATTTAAGCAAAATACTTCTTCCTAAAAGGTTTTTAATGTTTATAATATGCTGTAGTCATATTGCAGAGAAGCCCTCATGTTTGGGTTGGAGTGCAAGAGATAGTTATGAACCCTGGAAGGAAAATGGGCTCCCTTGCTGCTGGTGGGAGCATTGCCACTGAATTGAGCTGATGTAGTGCTACTTTCCAGAGACTTTGTGAAGTTGCTGAAATACCATCTAGCTCTAGTTTGCCAGGACCTGACTGAGAGCTTTTCAGATTTCAGCCTGTTTAACACATTAACTGCTCATCTACCTAGGCCTGCTTTTACAGCTGTTTTCATTATCATTAAATAAACCTGATGTTTCTTATGCAAAACTGTAATTCCTTCAGAATTGCCTGTGCAGATCCTGTTTCTTGGTGTATATAGATGCATTTGGTACCCTGATCTCAGAATCTTCAGGGAGGCATCATCCAGCTTTGGTGTGCTGTGGAATTACTGATGGAATATAGCATGAAACTCCGTTTTCAGATTTGTGTTAAAAGATTGACTGCACAATGTCTGTCCCTCGTGAAGAAGAATTCAACATAATTATTGGGGACAGAATGTACATGAAAAATAGTAGAATCTTTACAGTTTGACAGGTGTTTGGTCCAGATAGCTTTTCTTGCCTAATATATATAAATATGTAATTTTCTTGATTATTTTGTGTAAATTTGTGCAATGAGTATTTAGGGTGTATTACTGTGCGAGTTTCCTTTACCTCCTTCTCTTCCACTTAAGGTCTGTGGGATAGGGCACATCCTTTAGTATTTGTATGCACCCTTTTCCTGCACCCTTTTCATCTGTCAGCTTCTTGGCACTTCTTTTGCTGAAGTTTTCTGTCTTTACAGATATTAGTATCTCTTTAATTTTCTTTTTATAATTTTGGTTCTTGGTTTGCCTATTTACTGGGTCTACAGCCAGCTCAGATGCCAAAAATGTGAACTAATAATGTATTTGGAGTGTTGGAGGGTAGTTTTCTTCACTTTTCCTTATTTATGGCTTTATTTCAGTATTCCTTGATTGATATGCACCACTAGAGTAGTTGAAGTACTTTTTTTACAAATCTTACCCTTTGTGGCACCAGATTTGATCTTAGTAGGATTCTTTCAGAGCAGATAAATCTCTTCCCTCCAGAGGGAAAACCGAGTCACTGAAAAAGAGCCTATGGCATTCATTTAAAGAAAAGAAAGGAGAAGAAAGGAAAAAAAAAAAGAGTTCATCTTCTGAGACACATTTTAGATCTGTTGCAGATGTTAGCACAGCCATGCTGGTGAGCGTTGCTTTGAATTCGCTGCCGTCTCTGTTGCGTTGTGCTTGAAGGTTGATCCCACAGTTGCTGAAATTGGGAGTAAATTTCTCATTGATTTCTTCAGGACAAGAGTCTGGCTCATGGGGCAACTCTTCCAGCAAGAGGGGAATGTCTTCTGAGTGTGGAATTCAGTAAGCTTCCCAGAGCTTTGGGACTGATAGGAAACAGTACCGGGCCTGTTGTAGGGAGGTAAACTGAGACACAGGCAGATTGAATTCCTCACCGTAACAGTGCTAGAAATAGAATATGGAGATGTAAGATTGCTGTGGCTGTGGCTGTCTGTCACATAGTTGCTGTTGCCATAGGTGTTTCATACCAGCAATTGCTTTTTTAATAAATGAAGCATGTTAAAAGAAGAGATGATCTGTCTGAAGCATAAATATTAAAAATACTTCCTGTAACTTGTTCTTTTCTTTTGAGTAACTTCAAGCTAATGAATTATGTAGTAGCTTTAGAGACTAAATAATCATTGGCAAAGGCGAACCCTAATTTTGGCAGAGAAGAATTGGATTTTTGATGAAATACAACAATCCCTACAACTAATGTAATACAGACATCTAAAATTTGCTATGTCACAACATTTCTAATCTGAGTTATTTTCTAGGTAAATTTAAGACATTTTCCTGGAGAACTTTTCCAAGATCTAACCAGAAATAACTGAATTAAAAAATGCACTCAAATTATTTTCTGAGCACAGACTGCTCACTGCTCGTTGAAGTTGCCTTACAAAATATGTAGAGAGCACCAAAAAGAGTGTGCGTTTTTAAAAATCGTTTATGAAGAGTCTGAACAGCAGAGAAAAAGGAAAGAAAAGGGGGTGTTTGTCTTGTGGTTGTTACTAGGTTGATTTCTGTCCATGCAGACTTGTGAAAAGCTTCCTAGAATCCCTTTAGTGTAGAAGATTCTGCAGGAGAGGCAGCTTGCTGCATGGTTTTATGCTTTAAGGAAGGTAGAGTTTTCTTTTTTTTAATATAACATAGCTTGTAGTCATACCAGTCATATTACTCTATTTAAGTTTTTAAACATCTAGTTGCTTTTGAAGGATGCTGTTGTAATAAAAAATTTCTTGGGGTTATAGTCCTCATTAATAATTAAAGCAGGTTTCCATTTAAAGGAAAAAGGGTATTCAGTTGAATACAGGCAGTAAAATGTTGGGTATATAAAATTTTACAGTAGCTTTGTCCACTTTTCATTGCATTTAATGCGACTTCTGTGATACTGCTCAGGTTTGTGTGGGTAGCAGGCACAGTTTCTGTAAAGCCAGATGAAATGAGTAAAACCACAGAAAACTAACAGCAGGGCAGTTAAGGCAAACAGCCTTCTGATGCAGTTCTGCTGTGGGATTTTGTTGATGGCATTTTTTTTTTTAATCATAAGAAGGTCAAAAGTTAGTTTTAAGTGTTAATGTTGCAGAAAGAACCCCCATTGGACCAGATCCAATCAAAGCTAGATTTTGGATATGTAGCAATCCAATTGTTTGGTATGTTGCACTTGTCCAGATTGCCTGAAGGTAAGTGCAGTGAGCTCTGATCAGCTGCTGGGAGCTGTAGGTCACACCTTAGCTTGTTATGATGAGAGCAAGTGTGTGTCCCAGTGAGTGAAGTCCGTAACCATGTGAGCAAAGCTTCTGTGTGCAGAGGTAGTTCAGGAGTCTGCGCTGTACTCCAGGAGTTGGAGCATGGGCATACAGCGTACAAAGTATTTGTGGTTCCATGCAGGGCCAGCATGTGTGTCCTGGTTGCACTTGTGTCAGACTTGTGCTGGTTACTGGTGGAGTTACCTCTGTGCTGGTGCTGGAAGGTGTCCCGACTGTCAGGGCTGTCAGCTCAAACACGTAGTGGCAGCCTAAGGATGGTGCTCGGATTCTTGTCTGGCATTTGTCTTGAGACTGGAGCACTGGGAATCTTGGGGTGGAGATATAGGGTAGCCCTGTGGGAGACAACCAAGCAGAGTCAGTGCTGAGCAAGGCTAATAAGCAAAACCAGACTTGAGCGTCTTCTTTATGGAGACTCTCCAGTGGCTTCACACTGTGTTTCCCAGTAGCCATATTATCCTGCTTTACTACTTGAGTGAAATACCTCGACTTCCCATTGTTCAGATAATGGGAAGTTTATGATGTTGCTGCAATGGGTCATTGCCTAACCACAAAACAGTATTCATGTGGTGCATTTACATTGATCGTACATGATAGACACACTTTATGTTAGAACTGGAAGTTTTACAAAGCTTCCAAACTCTCCTGGCTTATATTGAAATTGGAGCTCTCAAAATCCTTTCTCCCCTTCCAGTTACTTCAAACAATCAGTCTGGGTCTTGCCAACAGGTACAGAATACAACTTAGGAAGTAATTCTGTCTCTGCTGCCTCTGGAATATGCTTTGGGTAAAGTCTGTTTTAGCCAAAGGGAAGTGTTTCATCTTGCTCCTGAATTAGGCTGGTGCAACTGCTTGGTTTATATGCTCTGCATAATTATATAATACTGGATGTGTACACTGTTTCCTTCTTCGATCTTTGTTCCTGACCACAGTCTTTCAGGAGAGAGGTTATGTGGGGGGGAAAAGTAGGAATTACTAAAAGGAACTATATTATATATTGAGGTTGACTTGAACTCCCTGACCCACAAAGTTGGAAGAGTTTCAGAGTTAGGCAAAATGGATTTGTTCAGCCCTAATTACTGTTATTTTAGTTCCTAATATTAATGTTCCTACAGCACTTGGATACTGTTGTGTGCTACATACCGTAGATAAGTTGTTATTATTACTACCTTCTAGGTCCATCTTGGCAGTGGAATTTGGGTAGATGAGGAGAAATGGCACCAGCTGCAAGTAACACAAGGAGATTCAAAGTATACAAAAAATCTAGCGGTTATGATTTGGGGAACAGATGTTCTCAAGAACAGAAGTGTCACAGGAGTTGCAACCAAAAAAAAGAAAGATGCCGTTCCCAAGCCACCTCTCTCACCTCACAAATTAAGCATTGTCAGAGGTAGGTTATTTGAAAACTTTTGCTTCCTGCTTTGGAGTTTAACCATTAATCACCGAGTTGAAAGATGCTTCTTTTCAGCTCATTTAAAATTAACTGATTAAAAACTGTAATTCAGATTGCTATTGCATTGTGAAGTGCATACATACCCAGGAACAGTAAAACACATTGCAATAGCTGTGCACAGTGCAGGCCTCCACAGCTGAAGAGTCGTACATTGACTTCAGTAAGGTTTGAAAAGATCATCATTTTAGACCACTTGCAGGGCAGGACTCTGAGCCTGGAGAACAACATGGTTTTCTAGAATTCATTTGTAACATGCTGATTTTTATAAAGTGTATATATTCCTTTAAACAAGACTGAGAGTAGCTTTACGACATTCTTTTATCCAGAACATAACCAGCTCTGGCATGAGGCACAGAAACCATTATAGCTGTGACTATAAAAATACGCATACCTTCAAAGGCAAGAAAGAATAGTTCTACCCTTTTAAGTGAAGGAAATGGAAATAGTAAAAATTAATTGTTGCACTTCAATTGGAATTTGGACAGGAAGTGTAAATCACTGACCTCATCTGGTAGGGAAAATTGCAATGACGCTTTCAGTAACTGCAAGCCTGAGTCCATGTGTGTAGTACTTTGAGAGAGAGTAGGCCTTCTCCTTTATTTAAACTGAATGGTGAATTTCAGTCCCTTTGTATCATCATGCCTGTGTTGCATCATTTCTGTCTCTCTTGGTATTTCAGGCTTCTTTTTAAGTCAGAACTGAGTTGTTTCCTCATGGAATGCATACTGAAATTGGATTTTTAGGTTTTATGTTCGTACTAAATTACAGTAGGGCTGAAAGAAACCTCCCCATTTGGTAGAGCTTCATTATTCTGCATTTCCTGTTCTTAGTTGCTGTGTGCTCTTAACTGTGAACTCGTTAAGAGGTGGTGTAATTTGCCATGAAAGTGCCATGTTTTGGAGTAAGGAATACAGTTCCACTCTGAGTGTGTGCGTGTGTCTGCGTCTGTGTTGTGTGGGGAGAAATTGGAAACTTATCTCCGTACTGTCATCTTTCTTAGTTTATAAGAAATGAGTAAAGGACGTGGGGTTTTTTTTCACTAATCTGCTTCAAGATTTTATGTGGAAGTGGAAGCTGTTCCATGCTGATTTTGTAGTTCTGTTTGGGGTCTTTAGGTACAATCCTTACACATGTAGCTGAGCAATGACGTACTGGCCACATAAGGAATCCACTCTGTGGCAGTGGCTCTCCCAAATGGGAAGCAGAATTGGTTGCCCTGGTGTGCGTTTACAAGCACGCAGCACAAGGGGGTTATTTTCCACTGGCCCAGTGCAATGTGGTTTCCAGTTTCCCTGCTGGAGGCTTTTGCTCCTCAGTGCTGCTGGCAAGGTTGTTTCTGTGAGAATTTCCTCTTCTGCTTTTGTCAGGGCTACTCTGTATTGCTCGAGCATTTAAATGACAGCTTTCTTCTAACTCCCCTTGTTTTGGCTACAGTGAGTTTGGGAGTCTGCTCCAACAGGTACCTGATGAGAGGCAGACGGGGCCCTTCCCTTTCTTCTCTTCCATACCTTTACACTCACCAGCAATTCAGATCTTCCCTGTTTCCTCATTTTTCTGTGTTTTCTGTCATACTTCTGCTTCAAGCCTCAACCCTCATTTGAATTCTGCTGTTACATGCCCTGGTTTTCCATGTTCCTCTTTTTATTGTTTCTTTCACCTTGTCTCTGATTTCCCTTTTGTTAGACTCCAGCCTGTACAATCTCCTCTTGAAGCAGTTAATCTGCATGGCCAGTGTTGGAGGTGTCAGGCTGCCTGTATCAGTGGGACTGGGTAGTTCATAACCATGATTTTCCATGTTGTCGTGTCCTTTGCGTCAGTGTTAGCAGGTCTTGCCCCACCAAGGAGAAGAAAGCAAAACAAAAACAAACAAATGACCAGCAAGGGGACAAATAGTTGAGATTTGAGGGAGTTTTCCATTGCTAGTGATTTGGATCAGGCATCACAAAAAGTAGTGAAGCTCCTGGTTAGCCTTTGAGGTCTACTTGAATCTTGGGTATTCAGCAGTACCAAGGGGTGTCTCTGTGCTCCTGTAAAGCCAAAAGACAAGGGAGCAGAACCTCCAAATTACTCTTTGAAGCCCTAAGCCAGTATCCTTATGCAAGTACTAGACTACTATTTCTGCACCCCCTCACAAAAATTGAAGAGATGGAGAGGAAAAACTGTGATTGAGGATCTGTCTGATCCACCTCAGCTTTTTAAATTACAGCTTTTGAATGAGTTCTGTCAAGTGATTCTTTGCTTGACTTTGTGGCTAAAGGAGCAACACAGCCTGTCTTTCACTGGGAGTTCACCTTACTGGGTGTATCTGCCTGGGAATGTTCTGACACTCTTGTAGGGCCAGCTGATGTCCTGCAAACACACTTTCTTCAGGCTCCCAGTGATGTGATGTGCCTCTTCTTAGGTGTCGTATTTCTAATCCTAGTTTACGAATGATCAGCATTTCAGCTATCAGGCTGCATGCTGGTTAATTTCATTTATTTTATATTCAGTACGTCTTACAACATAAAATTCACATTGCTTTAGATGTTCTCATCATTGTGTGGACACAGACTAACTTATTTAAAATAGATTTTTGAATGACAACATTAGCTCTTAATGTGTCTGATATCTGTATAGCTTCTTAAAAATCCCCACTGTGTAGTATGTAATAAAGAAATGATAAAAAGTATGATGGATGTGCACAGTTATAAACCTTGTTAATGCAAAATAACCTTTTATAAAACTTCTCAGAGGTTTCCAAATGAACTACAAAGCATGCATAGTACTTAATTTTCATAACTTTTTAATATGGTGCATTAGAAATGTTGTAAAGCACATTAATTAAGCAATAATCTCTATGGCTTTCTGTATATGAAGCAATAAACAGCTAATGGAATAGATCACTAGGCAAAGCAGAACAGAGTTTGTTTAACCAGTCTGAGAAGCCTACATAACAAAATACATTGGTCTGTTTATGAAAATCAAAAAATCTCAAACCTGCCTGTCACTAAGGAGTTATATGTGTTGCACCACTTCAGATTTCAGTAACTTCTGCAGGGTTCTGGCACCAAACTTCCAAATCTGGGAAGAAAAATTGTCTCAACTTTCACTGCCCACATTGTTTTTGCAGTTATTGCTATTGCTTGCTTTTTGTATTCCAGATAATGTGTATTTCAGAAAGTGTATTGATCAAACATGCAAGGAGATGGTGCTTGTCCTGAATAATCCACCAGTAAAAGTGAAATAAGCCCAGGGACAGGGCAGCTGATAAAGTCATGGACATTAATGTATGGGGAAGAGATACAAAAAATGAAATAAATGAGTTAAAAGTGTTCTCCTTCTGGTTCTCTTCCTGAGCATTGTCATTTCCATACCCTCCTGAAGGGGTGAAGGTGGGAGTGACTCACTGTGGATACAGCTCTGGTGGGACACTTCACCTGGGAAGAGATTAAATCTGTTGTGGAGATTCAGACAAGTGCAGGGGTCAGGCAGGCAAGGCTGGCACTGTAAAAGGTTGGGTTTAGCCTTGTTTCTGTATGGAAAGCCTATTAATGTAGTCACAGCATAACTGGAAGTTGGTCATGCCACTGATTCAAGCCTGGTGACAAATCTTGAGTTAAACAAGATAGACAGTGAATCAAGGAAAGCTTCTCTGTCTTGCAACAAATATACACAGTGCTTACTCACTGCTGTCTCTTGAGTAGTCAGCCCAACTCAGGGCTATTGTGTTTTCTAAAAATATCCTAATGACTCTTTCCTTTTTTTTCTCTCCCCAGAATGTTTGTATGATAGAATAGCACAAGAAACTGTGGATGAAACTGAAATTGCACAGAGACTCTCCAAAGTCAACAAGTACATCTGTGAAAAAATCATGGATATCAATAAATCATGTAAAAATGAAGAAAGGAGGGAAATTGCAAAGTACAATTTGCAATAAATTTTGGATTTTTAATAAAGTCTTAGTGTTTTACTTAAGTGTTGGTTTTTGATTTGTGTGGCATTTTTGCTGATGGGAGAAGATGAATTGAAGCGTTGCTCTCTTCCTATAACTGATTCGTTTTTTGAGCGGTTCTGTCATGGTGTAAGCTGCTTTTAACTAATGTAAGACAAATTGTAAGTTCACTCACAATGAAAACTGAAGTTTCCAAGGTTTCTCCAGCGAGCTGCAGTTTGTTACCTGCGGTTGTACATTGGTTGTGGTTCTGCGGACACCGACCCATTTGCCCTACGTTGAGTTTTGCTGGAGTTAGTGGATCTCAGCTGCAGTAAAACATCTGCTTAGAAGGAAGAACTGTACAAAATTCACTTTGCTATCAAAAAGGATTTTACTGTATTTTACAAAGTGTTTTTTTTCTGAAATGAAGTTTCAATCGTTTGTTTTTATAAATCTTTGTTTTGATCTCTAACAATATATTTGATCAAAAATACACAAAGAACGTTTCTTTTTCAATTATCTTGTAGGTAGATCACTATTACCATCACAGTTACAAAAACAAAAACTAAACAATGAACAACAGAGAACCCAAAGCTGTAAGTTGTAAAATCATGATAATTCATTTAAATAAATAAATCTAAAGCCGGTTCTTTTTCAGGGACCAAGACACTTCAGATTTCTGGTTGTGGTATAAAGTTCCTCAGTGTGTCCATACTATTGTTCTTGAAATATTACCTTTTTAGTGTATTTGTACTTTCAAACAATTTTAAAATTGCCACACTATGGCAAGAGTATGTACAGTAGAAAATTTAGTACAATTTTGTTTGGGTCCATAATTTAACAATGGACACTTTTAGCACAAATTTTAATTACAAATAAAAATAATTTTCTACATTGAAGTTAGACTTGCGATGCAAAGTTTTTAGAAATTATTTGTCATCTGAACTATATGTTGTTGTCTGTAAGTGAAACAAAATATTCTTTTCATGAAGGATTTAGAGCTGATTTGAGGTCTGGATTGATGAATTTTGAGGGTTTGTGATCTCACTTAACCTTCCGTTTATTCTGTGCTCACAGCTGTGATTGTCTGCCTTTCAGCCTGCCTGTTCTGAGTGTCAGCATTTGTTTATTTTCTACCACTGCAGTTCTGTTTCCTGTAGTCTTGAAAAGCTTCCCGTTTCTTATCACCTTCCTGTAGCAGTGGTTCACCCAGAGGTGAAGCCTTTTTCAGTGTCCTGTGAATGTAGATAATGTGGAAAGGAACAGGCTGCTGGCGTGGACTCGCCATGCCTGGAAGTATTTAAATGATAAAAGGTACAGATGTGGCACTTGGGGACATGGTTTAGTGGTGGCATTGGCAGTGCTGGGTGAATGCCTGGACTTGATAATCTTAAAGGTATTTTCCAGCCTAAATGATGCCATAATTCTTTAAAGGGCTGCGTGGGTGGGAGAAAAAGAGGAGGGGACAGGTGGAGGAGGTGTGCTAGAACTGCCCTGCCTTTCTTGGCAGAGATGAGACAAACAGCAAGTTGTTTCTTCCTGTACTTCACCTGTATGTAATTAATGTCTTAACTCTTAACTAAGTGTTTGCTTTATGCTTTCTAAAGTCCTTTTTCATGGTTGCCTTTCACCAACCTCGTGCTGTGCTGCCAAACAGGAACCCCCCACTTTCACTGCTGGTGCACCTGCATTCCTGTCCCTTCCCTTAACTCCACACATGTGACTGAACAGCTGTGTCAGATCCCACTGATTTCCAGGGTTCATTTCTCAACAGCTGCTTCCCGTAGGATGGAGCCAGAGCTTTCGTGGTGAGGGGTGGGAAGAGCAGGAGTGTGTTTTTCCAGAGGTCTTATGTGTGCCCTGAAGTTTCTTTGAACAGCCTCCCATGTCTCCTGCTAATATCAAGTGTTCTTAGGTAGTGTTTAATGAAGTGCAAAAATGTTTATGTTTCCTAATTTGGGATGCTAAACAGCAAATTAGTGTTTAAAATGTCAATGCATGTATCCTTTTATTAATTAAAAAGAACAAATAGAGATAAGAATGAAAAAACATTTAAACAGCAAGTTTCCCCTTTTCAAGCAGACTTGTGAATGTACAGGGTTGGGGTTTTTTTAAGTGATGCTAAGGCAGCCCACTATTTTGGGGAAAATGTCCATAATTTCCTCAGTCTTTTATGGCTTTAGTACTAATGTGTTTCCATTGTAACACATTCTTTAATGAGAAGATCAACCTGTACCTCTTAGAAGATAAGCCTGTTTGAGACAGCATTTTATGAAACTTGGAAAAAGCAGCTTAGAATTTAATTAGTTAGGACTCCACTCTGGCCCCAAAAATCAGAGGTGTTAATTCCTTCTGCAAAACCAGCATCACCTCTCTAAGGCTTCTCCTTGACATACTCGTCCCATCAGATGTTAACACTGCGTTTTGCTGAAGAATTTAAATGTTCTCCTTGGGCACGGTATCTTGGAAGGCTTCATTAAGTTTTTCCTGGAGATTTCATCAGCCCAGGTTAGTTTTCATTTGAATTCAACAGGGGTGTTTGGGTGGCACAAAAAAGTTCTGTTCCCTTTGAAACATAGTGGGGGCTAAGAAGTGTGTCTATTGGACTGGACAAGTGGTATTTAAACTTTGTTGAGTCATGTTAAAGAAGTAGGACATATTAAAGGTAGAACATCTCTTCATTGTATTACAACATAAACTAAATCTCTGGATACTGGAAAATTTTTTGGTAATAACAAGCCATTTCCTCACACTGTGGTTGTATGGCAGCATGCTGGGGGCTCTGCAGGGAGTAATGGGTGTGTGAATAACATTTTGTACTTGTACTTGGTCATTACTCTTTCCCTCCCCATGAGCCAGTGTCAAGGTTGTACAATTGTTTCCCAGTGTGTCTGAAGTAGGGAAATAGGCTGCATTTACGTGTTCCAGCAATACCCAAGAAAAATAGGAACTTTAATGGGGTGTGCCTTTCTGCATTGCAAAACTGATGTATAAATTAACTGTGAGTTTCATTTCATTTTCCTACGCTGCGTTTATGGCCAGGGCTGTTCTTGTTGGTACATTAATTTTTCAATAATTGTGTCTGCCCGTACATAGTTTGCTTTGTTCATATTGCGGCTGCTGTGAATCTACCATAGGAAACTTTATAGAAAATAGTCCCTACTAACTTTTTCCTGCTCTAGGGTAACTTCTTGCCTGTACATCACGAGGAACAGGAGAGAGTTTTGACAGAAAATGAAGTAGGTTTTATTACACCCTTTTGTTACCCCTCGTTCATCATTCTAAGGTTTGTGCTGTGCCATTACCTCATACTGTAAACCTGGATTTTTAAGGATCAGAAAGACATGGATTTAAGAGGAAGTGACAGTTTACTCTTTTTTAAATCAAAGCAGGAAGGAGGTATTGCTGTTATATGAATAATCTGATCTGTTGCCACACATTGCTGCAGTAATTTGTGATATTCATGATCTGATCCATATTAAAGTGCCTCTGGCACACTTGCAAGGAAGCAAGATTAGAGTTAACAAAAAAGGCTTTATTTTCTATTAGTGATTTTATAAGGGGTATGAGCTGTTGTGTTAAAGGAAAGAATCCTACCAGGGACTTTAATACCTGAGTCAGGAAATCTAGTCACTCAATTTAAAAAAAGAAAGCTAGTATTTATTAGAGAGGGAAAAAAAATTGTTAGTTTCTGCTGTTCCAGAACAGGTTTGGATTTACTGGTGCTTTATAGAGATGGGAGAGTTTTTTTAAAAAATAGTGAAGTACTTATGTGAAAGTTGAACTCTAAGTAGGAATTCAAGGTTGCATTGGTTAGCTGTTGTTGGCTGTCAAAAGCAGGTGCATTCTCCCTGTGGGAGGTCACGTCTTTGCACCTTACCTTTGATGTTGTATCTGAGAGATTACTGTGGTGGCTGCTTTGTTGTCTTAAGCAGAGATTATTGTCCTCTTGGAAGTTGTAAGTAGCAATAAATTGAACTTCTTGGGATTTACTGAAATTGTAAAGATAATTCTACTTCACACTTCCAGAATCTATAGTCTTTTAAAAATTAAAGCTAAGTGCAGGTCATTGTTAAAATGATACAATCTTGATGCAGAAGCTCAGAGAATTGTGTGAATTGGGAACATTGTGTATTAGCTGTAGCTTCATTGTGTGTTAGTTGTGTTCATAGCTGGTGAGAGCACCAATTCTGGCTGGTTTCAGAAAGAGGAAGCAAGGTTGTGTCAGATGGAGCTGTACTGAGGATTATTTCAATATTCCATCTTTCTGACATGAGAATCCTCTTCTGAAAGAGACAAAGACACAACTTGTGCCTCCTCTGAATGAGGTGGTAGCTTTCTCCATATTCTTGAAAATATTTGTCATTCTGTGTGTGCCTTTAGTCTCGGATTGATGAAGTCATAACATCAATTGCTCAGACTTTATTGGTGTCATTTTTTTCATCATAACAGTGTGGAACTCTGAAGTGATTCATACAACACCGAGGCAATAAAAGCCTTATGAAGTGCAATCATTGCGTGTTTCATGCTCAATAGCTAATTTTTAATTTCACCATCTTGGATATTTTTTCATCCCCTCAGGGTTCCTAAATAGGGAAAAAGAATCATTTGGACTTGGACAACAGGAGCAGTGATTCAAGAAGGAATTAATTTATGTGGTTGTTCATCTGTTTTACTTTTGCAATTATTTCTCCTGTTTATGTTTGAACAATAACTTTCATTCCGTGCGTCAGATACCTCTTGTTGTGCAGTGAAATCATGGTCCTGTGGTTGTGAGATCATCTGTTTACCATAAAGAGGGAAATACCTCACTTACAGCATCAGATGAAGTTGCATTGTGTCTGGGTCAGAACAAAGGTGAAAGTGAGTCTGGGAGGGGAGGAAGAAGCTGAGCCTAAAGGATTTTTTTTTTCTGTGCTGCCTTCTGGCCAGAAAACTTCTTCCTACAAAGGAAATTGTTTCCTCCACATTTAGCAGGATATCAACTTTATGTTCCTTGTTTATTGATAGTAAAGCCTTAATGGAACTGAAGTCTT